TTAAATTCAAGTATATATATATATAATTTCAATCTAATAAAATCATATCATTAATTAACATTTGGAGATTGCATACCTTATAATTTGAAAGTATCATGCGTCTGTATTCTCTTTGCTTTTGATCCTTTCAGAATAACATTTAAACCATCATAAAATTATGTACTAAAACAATAAAAAGAATGATAAAAAAGGAAATGAATAGTAACTTAAAATAAAAATAAAATGATGATGAAGTGAGTTTTATTATTTTACAATATATTTGACACAAATAAAATTTTTTGTGAAGAAATTTTTTCATTTCATAACAATGAACCAAAATTTCCAATAAATTAAATGTAATAACAATATCAATAAAACTTTTCATTCTTAATGTGTTTGTTTTTCCCTTACCAATTTTTATAATTTGTTTTACACCATCCAAAAATATCTAAACTATACATTAGAAATTTAACAGTATCAAAATTTAAACTAATTAATCATACCAACTACAATCAATTCAAACAGCATAGAAATTAATGTTAATGTTTGAAGGTGATAAAAATTCAAGATATATACACCTCAAGATAAAAACTTATGTCCATCTTAATGAACAAAAACTCAAATATTTTGTTATAGATCATTTTGATTGTTAACACTCAAAATTAATATGCACTTCATAAATATAATTTTTGAGTTCTGTTAATGAAACAAAATATTCTTGTCACTTCACAATGTGATCAATGTGGCTTGAAACACAAGATAAGAAAGGTTGAGGACTAATAAAATATAAACATAGAAAATTTTATATCATTCCGTTCCATTTTTCAATCAAAGAAAGCAAGCACTTGCACAACAAAGTTCAAAATTAAAAAAAATGTAATAAAAAACATACTCTATTTCGCATTCCTGGTGGCAAATAATCGAGCAAAATGTTGCTCATGTACTTAACCTTTTCAGCACGAGAGATGGTGAGCATGTCAGTTGGGAGATAACTTTCCAAGGAACTGAAAATTTCACGAGAGAAATCTGATTTCAAGTCATCATATGTTTCTGACTTGTGATTCTTGTGTGAATTTTGCATTAGCCTTCCTTTCGATTTGTGAGCATTTGGGACTTTTGTTGTGGTGACATTACTATTATCGGGATTGATGCTCTTGATCATTGGCAGCACTGCCTTCCCTCGATCACTGGAGCCATCGTGAATTGACTTGTCTTGAGCCATGTATCTAGAAAAGTTACCATTTTCTTTATAACATGAAGTTTCCAATTGAAAAATTCAATGTTTGAGGGTAAAATTAGGGTTTTCAATTTCATTTCAAAAGGGTTGATGCTTAATGATTTTGATATAGATGAAAAAAATTTAAAATATAAACTTAATAATACTAATACTAATAATAAAATTGATGCAAAGATATAGGTATTACTTTTGTGAAGGTTCCATTTGGAAAATTCAAAATTTGAGGGTAAAATTAGGGTTTTCAATTTTATTTTAAAAGGTTGATGCTTAATGATTTTGTTATAGCTAAAAAAATTCAAAACATAAGCTTAATAATACTAATACTAATAATAAAATAGATGCGAAGATATAGGTATTACCTTTGTGAAGATCTTAGTCGCATAGCACCGAATCGAGTTATTTTCATATGTTTTTTCCTTCTCCAGAGAGTTGATACATTCGACCGTTCGGCCGGTCTTCTTTGTGTCTCACTTAAAAGTTCAATTTATATAACCCTAGTTTGACTAAATATGTTGATGTAGCGAAGATTCTACAGAGATTCTTCTTAACTCGACCCGCTTTGCAAATTAAGTTTATTTGGAATAAATTTTATATTTTTTTTTGTAAAATTTAATAGTATTATGTAGATACATAGACATGAAGTTTGAAAGGGAATTTGGATTTCAATTTTAAATTCAAGGAAGTATTGTTCAATTGATTTTGTTATAGATAGAAAAATTCAAATATAAATTAAACAATTAAAAAATATGTGAATATGTAAATAATAGTTTTGTAGATATCTTAAAACGTGATTTGATTTAACGGGGTGAATTATCTTCATATATTAGTTTCTTCTATTAAGAAATATTACAAAATTTGAGTTATTCAACCTTATATTTGTTGTTACAAGTGAAGTAATTAATTACTCTACACTATTTAAATTACCCTTCTTTAAAATTTCACTTTAATTATAAGTTATATAACCTATTTAAAAGATATGAAAATGAAGATTTTTCTTAAGTTAGGTTTGTTTCACAAACTGTGTTTATTTGTTATAAAATTTATGTCTTTTGTAAAAATTAAATGTATTATGCAAATACACAGAGAATGTAAATATTTTTCTTAATTTGATGTGGTTCCCACTGTTCTTATTATATAGTGTATAATGTATATTTCTTTAAGTAATATAACATTAACTTTTACTACATACATATATTGATAGGCGTTGCTCATATTCTTCATAAATTATTCGTCTTAGTAGTACCTAACTATAAAATTATATTTATTTGATATAAAACTTATTTTGTTTATTTAAATATATGTATATACACAAATCATAGGTGACAAAATGAGTTAGTTAAGTCAATCTAACCTAAATATATTAAGAATGAGTTGCAAAAAGATTTTACATTAAAAAATAATTGACCAATAAATTTTTGAAAAATATGTTTTGTTTTTATGAGATATTTAATTTTTTTGTGTGTTTAGAACACAGCCTTAATATTTGTTATAAACTTGATCAAAATAATTTAAAAGACTTATAAACAGAAATATGTTTTATAAATCTAAAATTCATCAAACTCATAATAAAAAGGAGATTAATTAAATTCAAGTTTTAAAAGACAAAAAGAATCACTTAGAAGATTAAAAAAAACATTATTTTAGACAAAAAAAAAAGTCTAACATTATCAAACTCGACTCATATCTATTATTCCAATCGAAAATTAAAAATAATCAATGATTTACAAACCTAATACCTTAACTAAATTAATCATGGTTATAATAACATTGATACTGTTATTACATAATTAACAAATTGATTACACGAAGACACACTAGTATTAAAGTCGATTTTTTTTTCATTTGATTAAACATGGAATTAATCCATTTAAGCAAGACTTTTTTTATTTGTGAAATAAAATAACTTTTTGTTTTAATCAATTATAGAATGAATGAATCAATAACAGATGTATGATTGACTTTGAACAAATTTTTTGAAAATATCGTTTTAATCCGCCGGCGCCGGTATCTCTAAACAATGTTGTGGCAATCAAAATTCCTCCGGCTCCGCCGCCACCACCGGCTGCTACCATCCACGATTTCCTCTCTGCGGCGCTGCCACAGCGATTCAGCCTCACCTTCTTCTTCTTCTTCTTCTTCTTCTTCACAAAACGACGCCGAATCGACGGTGACCCACGTCGTGGAACTTCTCCAACAGCCAACGCCTCGGTGGGACTACGATCAGCTTCGTCCCTTTCTCGTCGACGCCTCACACCATCTCCTCCAAATCACTCTCCGCTTAAACTCCATTCCCAAAGCCCTCGATTTTCTCAATTTCCTCAGAGACAAAACAGAGATCCACCACCCCCAAGCCCTCTCTTACGCATTCGAGGGCGCTCTTGAACTCGCTTCTCGACACCCCAATTCGCAGAACGAGCTTCTCATGCTTCACAGTTACCTAAAGTCCAACGCTTGTGCCATCTCTCTCACTGCCAATTCCGCTTACCTTCTTTTGCAGTGCTTAGAGAGGGCCCAAAGGCTGGACGACGCGCTTCTTCTGTTCAAGGAGCTCGACCCTTCTTCCAAAAGTTTTCGATTTTGCAACGGGTTGCTGAGGGGGTTGTTCAAATTGGGTCGCACTGATGATGCGCTCTACGTGCTCGACGAAATGCTAGAAAGGTGTTCTGGTTTTCCTCCTGATGGTTTCACGGGTGAAGTTGTTTTCGAGGAGTTGGCGAAGCGTGTGGGACGCGGAAGAAGCTTTGCGGATCAGGAAATTTTGGGGTTGGTTACCAAGCTGTGTGAGCATGGAGTTTTCCCTGATGCATTTAAGCTTACCCAAATAATAACCAGGCTATGTGGGAACCGGAAGAATGATGTCGCGTGGGAGCTTTTGCATGGTGTGATGAGATTGGGTGGTGCAGTTGCGGTTGAAGCTGTGTCTTGCAATGCTCTTTTAGCTGGGTTGGGAAGGGAGAGGGACATTCAGAGGATGAATAAACTGATGGCGGAGATGGAAGAGATGAGGATAAAGCCCAATGCTGTGACATTTGGGATTCTTGTTAATCATTTGTGCAAGGCTAGGAGGATTGATGAGGCATTGGAGGTGTTTGAGAGGTTGAGAGGCAAAGGAGAAGGTAATCGGGTTGGTGTTGAGCCTGATGTGATCTTGTTTAATTCTTTGATTGATGGGCTATGTAAAGTTGGGAGGGAGGAGCATGGTTTGAGTTTCTTAGAAGAGATGAAAACAAAGAGTAAATGTAGGCCAAATTTTGTTACATATAATTGCTTGATTGATGGGTTCTGCAAAGCTGGTAACATTGGTAAGGCTCGTGAGCTGTTTAATCAGATGATCGAGGAAGAAGTGCATCCAAGTGTGGTCACCCTCAATATATTGGTTGAAGGTTTGTGCAAACATGGGAAGGTCCACAGTGCAGTTGAGTTTTTCAATGAGATGAAAGGGAAGGGGTTGAAGGGAAATGCTGTTACTTATACTGCGCTGATATCTGCCTTCTGTGGTGTCAACAATATTGATAAAGCCATGCAATACTTTGACGAGATGTTGAGTTCTGGATGCACTCCAAATGCGGTAGTTTACTATAGTTTGATATCTGGTTTAAGCATAGCTGGAAGGATGGATGATGCCAGTGCTGTTGTGTCTAAGTTGAAACAGGCTGGGTTTGGTCTTGATATAAACTGCTATAATGTCCTTATCAGTGGATTCTGTAAGAAGAATAAGCCGGAAAGAATTTATGAAATTCTTAAAGAAATGGAAGAAATTGGGGTTAAGCTTGATATTGTCACCTATAACACTTTGGTTTCCTACCTTGGTAAAATTGGAGATTTTGCAACTGCCAGCAAGGTGATGAAAAGGATGATTAAAGAGGGTCATGAGCCCTCTGTTGTCACATATGGAGCAATTGTACATGCATATTGTTTAAAGGAGAATGTTGATGAGGCCATGGAGATTTTTGAGGAAATGTGTTCTAGATCTAAGGTTCCTCCCAACACTGTGATTTACAACATCTTAATAGATGCTCTTTGCAAGAATAACGATGTAGAAAGGGCTGTTTCTTTGATGAATGACATGAAAATAAAGGGGGTTCCTCCTAATACAACCACGTATAATGCTATTCTTAAAGGAGTTTGGGATAAGAAAATGTTGCAACAAGCATTTGAACTTATGGACAGAATGATTGAAGACGCATGCCATCCTGATTATATAACCATGGAGATTCTTACTGAATGGCTTACTACGGTTGGTGAAATAGAAAAACTGAGATGTTTTGTTCAAGGGTATCCGGTCTCTCATCCAGCATCATCTCAAACTTCAATTTGTTTATAATGTGCTTGAGCAATGCAAGGGTTTTATCTGTTAAAGCTCTACAGTATGATATTCCCTTTGAAATCATTTATAAAAAACGACGTGGCTGATAGGTTTCATGCCAAGCTTAAATTTGTTCCCAAGTTTTGAACCTTTGACTTGACACTAGTAATTTAATTCATCGACTTATTAAAGATATGAGGGTTTTTGTATGGAAGATGACCTTGGGTGCGTGTATACACACACGCACACTCATCAGGCTGAGGTCAAAGGATGTTTATCACACTATCCACCATCAAGGCATCAACTTTCATTGGAAAACATTCTCCTCCAATCTTGAATTTTGAAAAGTAGCTGTAAGATTAAGTTATCTGCCTATACGCACAGTATGATTTATACTACGCGTCTAGTCCCTACAGCATGAAATTATAAAGTCAATTCAATTCATTCATTCATTTTTCTATGACCATTCCAGGAAGTTGGAGCATCCTGCATTGCATATCTATCCAAATATGGTGTATTCAAAAGGGTGGCTCTGCAGTCATGGATCCTAAGGCTGCAATTTATTTTTCTTCTTTTTATTAATTCTGTAAGGTTTGAAACAGAAAATTAAGGGTAGAGATTAAAATTGTCTCTCTTCAAATACAAGTAATCCACATCCGATCAAAAGTTGTAAACCATGCTTTTACCAATTCATTGTCTTATCTAATATTTCAAAATTTATCACATGTTATTGATGCGATTCTCATTTTGCTCTGATCTCATGCTTAGTCCCATGGGGCAAGACCAAAGGGGAAACAAAAGTTTACTAACACGTGGAAGGCATCATTGATAAGGCCTTGCTCAACGCTGAGGAAGAGAATAAAGTTGATGGAGTTCCTAAATGCAAAAAGGGCAACGTACATAAAATATTTCTACACCTAGTTAAAGAGCAACGCACTTCTAATAATTCTACACCTAGTGTACACTGAAAATGTCATTAATCGTATATGTGAATATTGTTAATTTTATCTTGGTAGTAGTTAAGAATTAACTTTATAAGAAAAAATAGTCTATGCACTTATATTGTACTTTTTTTTTACCCTATCATCCTATCTATCAAAATTTTCCACATAATAAGTTTATTGATTATTACAGAAATTACACATACCGTGATTATACTACCATGCATAGTTAATCATATCTGGTGGATAGACATCGAATGTAGAAAATGAAAGTTATATTTTCACGCATGGTTAATCATGTGGTGGATAAACGCTGGATGTAGAATTCTAGAGACAGTAATCCTAAATAAACAGAGGCATATCCATCAGCTAACAGTAACAGATACAACTATAATAATGTGACGATGTTCTAACGTGCTCCATTATTTAAACCATTAGATCTATTTTGTATTTACAGCAATATCCCTTCCCTTACCGTTGCCGCCACGGGCCTCCCCAGCCTCGTTGCCACCATCACCCACTTCTTCTATACATCACAGGCTTCTCTCTCTCTCTCTCTCTCTCTCTATATATATATATATATATATATATATATATATATTATTTAGTTTATCATCTCACTATGGTAGATTACAATACACTGTAATTTCATTGACCCAACCCCGTGCAATCTCTTATTCCCTGATTCTCTTCATATTAAAATGTAAATGTTAAATATTCGAGCTTCGTTTTATTTCTTTGTAGGTGAAATACTGTTTGAAAGACAACAAACACTTTATCCATTTATCTATTTTTCTAAACAGCTACTAATTTCACAAAGAGGAGGATGAAGGACGCGATGAGGGGAGGAGTCATAGAGGGAGAGGGAGGGAAAAAATCTAATACAAGTGGTGTATGTTGTTATCTAAATACTAGATAGATCTAACGGTTGGATTACATACATAAATGGTTCACCGTAGACACCGTCCTATAACGTAACGTTCCAGTAAGAAGTATCAGCACAACCACTGATATATAATAGTTATTAACTGCATTTCGTGTAAAGTCAGGTGATTTCCCTATCATTCTATCTAAACATCGTCGTTAGAGGCAAAGCTGGCCGAAGACTTTCAAGTTTGAGGTCTTGTGCATTCACGAGAAGAGAAGCCAATTTTCAGTAGTTACAACTTACAAGACCAACTTCGGTAGGCGGTACTTGGTACCAATCGGCCATATGCTTTACATTATACACTGACATGCATACCTAAATTTAGATTTATATATTAAATAAAATATTTGCTGCAAGATCAACCGCAAATGTAAAGTTTACGAATATTGGAAGCCACTAGAGAGAAAATAATCATTTTTTTAATAGTAAGCTCTAAATAGATTTGTACTATTCCATTCCAAAGCAAACACGTCCAGATTCCATCACATTCACATCATAAGAGAATTAGAAGTTTAAATGTAACTATTGAACTTAATGACATTGCGCCATTCCGCGAACAATGACTAGTTATTCGTCGCTTCCTATAACAGCCTTAAGAGTATACTTAATCCACACAATTACAAGATTTTAAAATTATGTATTTTAATAAGCACGCTTTCCACTCTAAGTCACATACAGAGAGACACAACACAAGTATGGCTAAGGTAAGGAAAATGCAAGAACAATGATTAGCAGTGGTGCTCAGAAAAATTATCCACTATTGATAAACTCCCAACACACATAAAGAAGCCTTCTGATGATTTGAGCAAGCATCACAATCCACAAGGACATTCAAAATTGTAAACAACAGTAGCAGCCAAGTCAAAATAACTTATAACCAATGTCGCCAGAATGAACATAAACTACCAACGTAAAACAAAAGCACGAAAGAAAAAAGATAATAGATGATTGTATCTCTCCAAATGTCTCACTACTGTTCAATCAACTCTACCTCACAGTTACAATATCATCAATCTTCAAAATCATCCGCACACACTCAGTTGCCAAGGTGATCGCACTCGTGCTCACCAGCAGTGGCTGCACCACATTCTCCTCCAAGATGTTCGTAATCTGACCCTTCCTCACATTGATTCCAGCATTTATCTCACCCTGCGCATGACGATTCCTCAGCTCAGTAACAATGGCAATGGGGTTCAAACCAGCATTCTCCGCCAAAGTATAAGGAATAACTTCAAGTGCCTCAGCAAATGCCCTCACACAGTAACCCTCCATCCCATGCAACACCTTAGCCCAGGCACCCAGCTGCCTGGAAAGCTCAATCTCCGGGGCCCCACCACCGGCAATGAGAAACCTCTTGGCAACCAAACACCTAACAACACACAAAGCATCATGCAGACTCCGCTCCGCCTCATCGAGCACAAGCTGATTCGAGCCACGAACAAGCACAGTTGTGGTCTTCCCCATGTCCTTGATCCCAGTAATCTTCACAACCTTACCATCCCCAAGCGAAAGCTCTTCCACAAGATCAGCATAACCCAACTTCTCAGCACGAAAATGCTCAATGTTGGCAATGGGCAAACAATTCAGGGTCTTGGTAATGAACTCAATCTCATCCCTCTCCACATCCTTAATCACTAAAATCTTAGCTTTTGCAAGGTAATGCAGGGACAAATCAGTGACAGCATCCCTAAGAATGCTCTTTTGAATCAACAACACATTGCAACCAGTGGCCTTGATCTTCTTAATCATGCTGAGAATATAACTACGCTCTTCTTTGAGAATCCTATCCATCTGAGAGTAATCACTCACCACAATGCTTTGTTCAATGTCGGTTTTGGGCGGAGAAATCTGGAACTGGATGACGGCGATCTTGGCGTTCTCCATGCGGGTGGGGCCGCCGGCGGCATGGCTGACCTTCTTGTCGAAGACGAGGCCCTTGACGAGCTCGGTGTCGTCGACGGTGCCGCCGAGCTTCTTAACGATCTTGACGTCGCGGAGGTCGACCATGTCCGGCTTGGCGGCGTCAACGACGGAGAGCACGGCGTCGACGGCGAGAGGCGCGAGAAGCGTGGAGTATTGGCTGACGACCTTGCTGTTGAGGGAGGTGGAGGCGGACTTGACGAGGGATTCGCGGTCGGAGAGCTCCACCGGGACGGCCATGGCGGTGAGGACGTCCACAGCCTTGACGGCGGCCTTGTGGAGGGAATCGGAGACGACGGTGGGGTGGATGCCGTGGGAGAGGAGGAGGAGGCACTGCTCGAGCAGCGCGCCGGCGATGACGACGACGGTAGTGGTGCCGTCGCCGGCGGCGGAGTCCTGCGACTTGGAGAGCTCGACGAGCATCTTGGCGGCGGGCTGGAGGACCTGCATCTTGTTGAGGATGGTGGCGCCGTCGTTGGTGATGATGACCTCGTCGGAGGAGGTGGAGATCATCTTGTCCATGCCCTTGGGGCCAAGGCTGGTGCGCACGGCGTTGGCGACGGAGCGCGCGGCCACGATGTTTGCGTGGCGGATGTCCTCCTTGCGCTTGTTGTCCACGTAGGACTCCGTCTTCGAGGATCGGTGCTGGGGAGCCGCGATTGCCGCCATTGGTGGTTGCGGAGCGAGAGAACCCTAGACGCAGTGGAAACCCTAGATTTGAAATACGAGAGTGCGAGCGGAAGAGGAAGAAACAAAGAGAGAGAGTGATTCGTTCAGAGTAACTTACTTGATAGAGTGGGGTTTTGCGTTTTGCTTTTTCTAGCTAAGTCTAGGGGTTTTGTGTATAATATGATGTATTTTAAATTTTAAATGAGTATTTTAAGGATAAAGAAGTTTTTTAAATTATTAATGGTATGTTTATTATAAACTAAAATAAAATAAAAAAATGTGTAAATGAAATTAAATAAGAAGAAATTTAAGTTCAGGAACTTTTTATTACTTTAGTGTATTTTAAATAACATAAATAACTTTTTTTTTACTATTTTTGTTCAAATTTTTATAATTTAAAATTAAATATATAAAAATCATCTGATCATGTTATTTTTTTTAATAAAAACAAAAAAATTTTATGTATATTATCTAAAATTGACTGCTACATCATAATTATAAATATTAGTGAGATTAAAATAGTTTGATAAAAATAATTAATTTTTAATATTATTTTTATTTAAAAATTTAAAAATAAAATCACTTAAAAAATATGAAAAAGTGATTATAGTCTCGTATCTTCTTTATATATAAATATAGATATTCATAAGAAAATAATAATGTAAAATTACAAACAACTCTTTTTTATTGATTATTAAAAAAAATCATCGACTTGATTTTTTTTTTTAATTTACCATATGCCTTTAGTGCATATTTGTTAAAAGAAAAACGTTTGGATGATAACTCAATTATCAAGATGGCAAAAGAAGTTTTTTTTTTTTGGTGCTGTAGATGGCAAAAGAAGTTAATTCCACCCAAAATAAATAAACATAAAAACACATATTGATAAATGAAAAAATTACCATAAACACACACTACTTCTATGCCAATGTCAGGTAGATTTTATAAAATTACACACGATTTAATAACTTGAAGAGTTTTTTTTTTCTTCTCACACTATAAGTTGATCATAGTTATGAAGCAACATGAAGTTGTTGTTTTTATTTTTTTCAAATTGACTTATTTACAGAGACTATGTATAGTTTTATCCTAGTACAAAGTATAAACTAATAAAAGTATTAAATTTTTTTACTGTAAAAAAAGTATTACACTTTTTATTTTACAGTTAAAATAATTAATTTAAATATATTGTTAGTTTTTAAACATGAGACAAAATTACTTTTAATTTCATAAATTTGAATTAATTTTTTAGTCTCCATGATTTAAAGGAAAAACAAAACAAAATTTACTTTTCACTAAATATGTTACACGACAAAGCTCAGATTCATCTTACTGCACTCAATCTGTTGTGAGAGTGGAAAAATATTTTTCTTGAATTACATAACTAAAAATATGATCTTAAAATTGAGAGGAAAAAAAAAAAATTTATTTATGAAGAAGAAAAACGAAAAATATAATTGGTAACGTAATTTTATGTAACCAAAGATAAGAAAGATATCTGGTGTCGGCGGTGGATACTCCAGGACCAAAAAAAAAATATAAGATATAAATTGCGTGGGGTTAGGGATGCAGAAGCGTGTGTCTGCGCAGTGCATTCATCTTCGTTTCAACTAAACCCCTCTCTCAGCAGTCACACAACCACCATGCCTATGGCATATTCGGGCATATTTCAGGGCTTCGTCAGATTCAAAGCCATGTCTCGCCTTCGCTGCACTCCTCTCAGACCTTCTCTTCCCTCCATTTCCGCCACTCCCTTTCACCGCACTGCCATTCGCCTCCGCTCCTGCTCCGCCGCGCTTCACGTCATCAACGACACGCGCCACCGGACCGTCACGTTGCCGTTTTGGCACCAGCGCAGCTCCGGCTACGGTCGTTTTGCCTACCAGGATGTGTCCAGTGACGATTCCGACGTCGAACTCGCGCCTTCTCACAACCAACAAGTGGTGCGTTCGTTTATTTCTATTTCCCTAACCTCTGCCCTACTACACACACGCAAACTTGCTTCCGTTCATTCGTTTTTAACGTGTTGGTTATTGTTAGGTTGATTCGACGCTCGAGAACATTGACGAATGGAGATGGAAGCTGACCATGCTTCTGCGCAACAACGAGGAACAAGAAGTGGTGTCAAGAGAGAAGAAGGACCGTCGTGATTTCGAGCAACTTTCGACTATAGCTACCAGGATGGGTTTGTATAGGTAGATACCTATTTTCGCTTTAACATGAATTTTGTTTATTTATTTATTACATTTCTGAATGATTTTACTTTGGCAGCCGGCAATATGCTAGAGTTGTTGTGTTTAGCAAGCCGCCTTTGCCTAATTACCGCCCTGATCTAGATGATAAGCGTCCACAAAGAGAGGTATTTAATTTATTACTTTGCAATTCTGTTAGTTGGCTTATGGTGTAAAGGAAACAGGAGCCTGCTCCTCGACCTCAAATTTTTATGCATAACCTGGTTTAAGTAAATCAATCTGGCGGGCTGGCAATATTGGGTGAAGAACACCACTTTTAGGGCCCATTTGTTTCAAAGGGGGGAGGGATTTTAATGGAAGCGAGAGAAGGGAAAGGGAGGAGAGGAGTTAGAAATTTTGTTTGGTTGAAAGGAGGGGAAGTAACTCTTTTCTTCTTTGATTTATGAAGAGAAAGGAGGAATTTTAAAACCAATTATAATTTTAAATTTAGGTTAAAATACTTTTTTAATATTTACTTACTTTATCTTTTCATCCCTATAGTTTAAAATGAATTTTTTAGTCCCTATACTTATCTTTTTCAATCATTTTTAGTCATTTAAGATAGATCTTTTTAGTTCCTATACTTGTATTTGTATTTAAGATAGGTTAATTTTTTTATGTAATGTTTTCTCTTTTGTATTGATGCATGACAGATGTATTAATTCAACTTTGTATGTCAATGTCAAATTTATTTAGGTGAAGTTACTCTAAATTAGATTTTTCGACACTTCATGTCTTTTTTTTACCCTCATCTGTGACACTAATTGTTGCAATACCATTTTTTACTCTCACAAAATGAAGACCTCTATAGGTCAACACAAAACAGACAATACAATTAAATAAATTAACGATAGGGACTAAAAAGATTAAAAAACTACAAGTATAGGGACTAAAAAGATCTATCTTAAACTATAGAGACTAAAAAGGATTGAAAAATATAAGTATAAGGATTAAAAATGTCTATTTTAAATTATAGGATTAAAAAGTAAAGTAAGTGAAATATATGGATTAAAAAAGTATTTTAACATTAAATTTAATAACATAAGTAAGGATATTTTGGACATTATAAAAATGTTTTAAAATCCCTCCCTCCTCACAAAATCCCCCAATATTGGATGGAGATAAAATTAGATGAGGAGGGTTTTGCTCCCCTCCCATCCTTAAAAATTTAACCAAACGAAAAAAGTTTTTTAAATTCCCGCCCTCCCCTTCATTCCCCTCCAACCAAATACTATGGTAGTGGTGCTTATCCCAACAAAGTAAGTGGAGTTAAGTTTTAGAATTAGTCATAGACGCTATACTTTATCAGTGATGCTGGTGATGGAGACTGTATTGTAGTTGTTGTTGGAGATAGTGGGAATTGGGGTTTGTGGTGGTGGAAATAATGCCAGTGATGCAAATGGTAGTAGAGAGGTTGGTTGCTAACTTGGTGTTCAAGTTATTGAGCTTATATGGCTGTGTCTGTTTTTTTTAATGCAGGTGATAATTATAAAATTTAGGATGCAAAATGAATATTTTTTACTTCCTTGGAATTGAAATATTTAGTGAGTTAGAACTAGGGAGTCGGTAAGACTATACTTTAGTAGTTCAACCACGGGAAATTAAGAATTTAGGGGCTGTTATGTTTGAAAAAATGTTTTTTGCTTTCATTTTTTATTACAAAAATGTCACATTTTTTTACTTTATACTTTGTTTCTTGTTTTTAGAAGTTTGTATAGGAATTAGGAAATAGTTAAAACAGGAAACGAAAAAAAGTTTTTTCACTGTTTTCTTTACAAACACTAGAAAACAAGATAACATTTTTGTAATTAAATGTTAAAACAGAGAACATCTTCTCAAATCATACGGTTCCTAAGTTCCCAATTTCACTTCCATTCCCCTTGTTAAATTGAGTACAATACCAAGCACCAAACAGTGCCAGTAGTTGTCAACAGATAACAGCTTTCTTTACAGTTTTAATACTATAAAATTGTGATTTGTGATATATTCTCTATCCACTATAACATGTATCCCGACTGACTGTTTTTCCTGCCCTCTTGCAGGTAGTCTTACCATTTGGTATTCATAAAGAAGTAGACTCTCATCTCCTTGCCCATCTTTCACAAAAGGCTACAAACAGGTTGGGTTCTTTGAATGATTCCTTGCATAGATCCAGTGATGCTAAAAGCATTCCAGCCAATGAAGGAATGTATGAAAAGCCAGAGCCCATGACCCATAATAGTATTGTCAAGGAGAAAATCCTTCAACGAAGAAGTTTGCAAATGCGTCATCAGCAACATGATTGGCAGGTTTATTTGCCTTCCTAGTTTTAAGTGCATTTCATTTTCCGTTATATTCTCAGCTGGAATTTCAGTAATTTTTGTATTTCAGTATTTTGTTTTTGACTTTAGTCTCATTCATAGTGTTGGTGCGGGTGTAGATTTATGAAAGCTATTAATTGTAAAAAATATAGTGTAGCCATGTTTCTAGTGCATATATATAGCATTTTTAATTTTTTTAAAATGAATGTAGGGCTCAATCTTGATCTTTATCACAACACTTGTATATTTTAATTTGATAGTACATTTTTAATTTTTAATGAATAACATAGCTATTGAAAAATTAAATCAATTATGGTAATATTGTTATTTGATTGCAGTTATTCCAACTTGCTGATTAATGTGGAATGACTGAATATCCTAGATTTTGATAGTTGTATTTAAATGCTATCTGGTTTCTGACCTTGATACATCATGATGGAAGCTGTTTATTGATATTTTCTATCAAAGAAATTTTTCTGTACTTACCTAGATGTCACTTGTCATTATTTTATCCTTTAAAAATGTTGTAACAGATGCTGGTTTATCTATAGGAGTCTCCTGAAGGGCAAAAGATGCTTGAATTTCGTAGAAGTCTCCCTGCATTCAAAGAGAAGGATG